GTGGTTGAATGCTGTATATTCTTCCCGGAAATCTCAAACAGTGAAGGCGAAGTGTCTATTGGTCGAAGGTTTATATACCTATTTTCACAATGCTCATCCAGCTAGACTATCTGCGTTCGATTGTTTCATTGTGAACGTCCAGTTCTTTACATTAAACGAACATGGTGTGCTTGTTTCACTCCCTGGATAAAACAATGTGATCCATATTCACTAGCGAGTCCTCATCTGTCAGGAGCACCCGGTACAGAGCTTAATACAGTCTTTCGATGGAGGTTGGTGGGAAAGGAAAACCTATTTTCGCCTTTCCCAAAGTAAATATGAAGTTACTCACTAGTGGGTTTGTGGTGTAAATTAATCTTTACACTATTTTTGGTGGTCTCTGCCTTTTCCACAGATTAAAAGTTACATTGCAAAAGATTTAAACTAACTTAATCAAACACCCCTTTCGGGAGAATTTTCTGACCCAGAGTCAGAAGAAAACACTGGCAAATAGTTTGTTTAATAGTACGTTTTAACAGCAGGACATTTTAAAAAAGAGAATAGATCCTGGTTTTCGCGAGACAAAGGTTCCCAGAAATCAGGTTTTCTGCGGAATGATTAGGCTTGCAAATGGGTTTCAAAATGCACCACTGGTGTCCTTCGGTTCTTGACCGCGGGTTTAAAATTACGCCCCCACATTACTGAAGTTTAGGGGACTCCGGATAATCCGAGTGTAGCTTTCCTGGTGTAAATTAACTGTTTACAATTGTCCTCCGGGTACATTATTTGAGGAGGAGGGAGGAAAACGTTAAGTTAATGGCTACAAGAGTTTGTGTACCTCTGTGATTTCTATACGTGTCGCATTGTTTGCGGTCATTTCTGCTTGTTTATTGGAAGCGATTGTAATGTGAAAAAAGATGTGGCTGTGAAAATAGGGTGATTTTTAAGACAGATGCCGATGTCCTACTTTTCCAAACATTTCTCTAGGCTGTGACGGGGAAAAAATAGGCAGCATTGTCCTGCAATAATCACTCCACAGTATTTTCAAAAGGTTGTTTTGTGCTGAAAGCACTTGGGTATTGCTTTTTCAAATAAGCAATTTTCTGCCTTTGGTTTATTTGATGGGGGAGGGAGTGTGAGCAGAAGATTGGGAGTGCTTTTTAGTGAGTTCAAACAATCTTGAAGTA